GTTGCTCCGGCCGCTGCCGCTGCTCCTCCCGCGGGCCCCAGACCCTGACCCGTCCCCGCCCGCCGCCGCGGCGCCCCCTCCGTTAATTAGCGCTAATTGCCGCCGCGGACCTCGCCCCCCCGCGCTCCCCGCCCCGTCCCTCCGCCGGGCAGCGCCGCGCTCGGCGGTTCTGCCCCCGCCACAAAATGGAGGACGGCGGCGGCCGCCTCCTCCCCTTCCCCTCCCTCTCTCCCTCCCTCCCTCCGCCTCCCCGACGTGGAGAGGGAGTGGAGACAGCCGGCTCGGCGAGGGGCGGCCGCGGCCGGAGCTGCTCCGCGCCCCGGCTCGCCTCGCTCGGCTGTGCCGTGCCCGGCCCGGCCCGGCCCCGCCGCGCCCGGCTCCGGGGGCAGCCCCATCCGAGGGGGAACGGTGCGACCTGTTGGCCGAGACGGGAAAGTGCAGCCGGGCACGGGGCAGGGCTGGGCAGAGCGGGCAGAGTATGGCAGAGCGGGCAGCCTGGACAGGGCTGGGCAGGACGGGCAGAGTGGATGGAGCAGAGCGGGGCAGGCAGGGCAGAGTGGACAGGGCAAGACGGGCAGGGCTGGGCAGCACGGGCAGAGTGGATAGAGCACAGCGGGGCAGGCTGGGCAGAGTGGACAGGGCAGGACGGGCAGGGCTGGGCAGGGCAGAGTAGACAGGATGGACAGGGTTGGGCAGAGCAGGGCAGAGCTGGGCAGAGCTGGGCAGGGCAGAGTGGACAGAGAAGGGCAGAGTGCGCTGGGCAGAGCAGGGTAGAGTGCACAGAGCAGGGCAGGGGAGAGTGCACAGGACTGGACAGGGCAGAGCAGGACAGGGCAGAGTGCAAAGGGCTGGGCAGAGCAGGGCAGGGCAGGGCAGAGTGGACAGGGCAGAGCAGGGCAGGGGAGATGCTCCCGCCCGGCCCTGGCGGGAGCATCCGTCCAGCTCTGGGCTCTGCTCTACGGGCGACACAAGGAGCGACTGGCAATGTCCAGCAGAGGCCACGAAGATGTTGAGGGCTCTGGAGCATCTTCCTGGTGGAGGAGGGACTGTAGGAGCTGGGCTGGGTTGGCAGAGGATGGTGCCAGGCCCTGCTCAGTGGTGCCAGTGACAGGACAAGCAGCAATAAACTCAAACACAACGAGTTCCACCTCAAGACAAAGCAGCACTTCCTTCCCTGGAGGGTGGCAGGCACTGGAAGGGCTGCCCAGGGAGGAGCTGGAGTTTCCCCCTCTAAAGACATCCCAAACCCACGTGGACACGTTCCTGTGTCACCTCCAGGTGACCATGCCTTGGCAGAGGCTTGGACAAGATTGAGATTTTACAGCACAATTATATGCCCTCTTGTTTTTTTAAATTATACTTTTTTTTTTCAGACCACATTGACTTTTGGAAGCTGTTGTTTTACTTTTAAAATGCAAAACACATGCACACAATGTTATATTAACATTATTTTTTCCTCCACAAGTTATGAAAAATGGTTCTAAAAATTATATCTCTTCCCCATTTTTGAAAGATGTGTTTAAGGCAGCCCTCAGAGCTGTCTTGTGGTGCATTTTGAATGATGCAATGGATTTACAGCTCTCAGGAAATGCTTCTTCCCATGCGAGGGAACTGGAATAGCAGAAGTCAGAGTGCTCACAGAGGCTGTGAAACCTCTGTCACCAGTGCAGGGCTGTTGCAGAGGTCCTGGCTGTTCAATAAAGGCAGTGACGTCTGTCAAAGCATGAAATCCTACAGTGCTGCTGGGACTACACCTCAGAAATTGGCACTCTTGCTCTGTGAATGTCCTGCTGCAGAAACCGTCCTGCATTTGGGGACGCCTCTTACCCCTGCAATTTGGGGAACTCTAACATTAGGGTGGGAGAATATCAGCCTGGAGGAGAGCTCTAGCTCCTTCTGTAGTCTGGGGAAACTGGAATAACAAAGCTGTTTATTTCTAAGACATTTAGATGAGAACATCTGCTTACAAACACCCGTTCAGATGCTTAATTACAGCTGGGTTTGTGCAGTAATGGCGAGGACACTCCTTCTCTAATGAATAATTCTTTATCTTAATGTCACCTTTGATCCAAAAGAACCCGATTTCAGCTGTTATACAGAATTTTACTGTACCCTGTGAGGGTGGGCAGGCCCTGGCACGGTGCCCAGAGCAGCTGGGGCTGCCCCTGGATCCTGGCAGTGCCCAAGGCCAGGCTGGACAGGGCTGGGAGCAGCTGGCACAGTGGGAGGGGTCCCTGCCATGGCAGGGGTGGGACGAGGGGACTTTTGTGTCCTTCCCAAGCCTTGCCGTGCTGTGAATTCATCCCGCCGGGGCTCAGAGCGGGGCCGGGAGCCCCGGGCACGTCCAGCTCCAGCTCTGCTGCGGGAGCTGGGGCAGGGGCTGTGTGCAGGGGGCTCTGCCCGGGCCCCAGCGGTCCCCCTCTCTCCCGAGGGCTGTTTCTCCTCGGTGCTGGCTGCAGCAGCGCTCGGTGACCCTTTTGTCACCCTCTGGTGACACCCCCGTGTGTCCCCGCAGCTCCGTTCGCGCTCTGTTCGCGCTGCGGCCGCGCCGGCTCTGCCCCGGATCCTGTCCCCGAATCTGCTCCCTTTAAAGGGTTTTGTGTTGAATGGAGCAGATAAAAAAATATCAGCTGTTTTCTGCCTCTCTCTAAAACTGGGAAAAGGACGGCACAGACTCCCCTGCCCCAGGCGCTGCCGGGAGCGCCCCGCGGGGCAGTGCCCGGGGATGCTCCTCGCCCGAGGCTGCCCTGGAGCTGCACAGACCCTTCTCGCACAGCCCTCCGGGGCTGGACCTCCCAACAAACCACCTCCCCCTGCTCTCCTTCAGACAGAAGTGCTCCCCAGGACGCTACACTGGAGCAATAAATGCAATGTAAAAGCTGATAAGCTGCGTGCTCTGGCTGTTCTCTCACATTAACCGGTATCCAATACAGAACAACTTCAAATGCGTTATGTGATGATGGTCAGAGTTAAATACAACTCATCTTTGCTGGTTTGTACAAATGCAAGGAGTAAGTTAAGCTTTAAAAAGCTTGTGATTTTTTTTTCAAGTAAGTGCAGGTCTGGTGGGAGCCCAGAGCCCCAGGAATTTTGGGGAGCCGCAGGGAGAGTGGTGCCAATTGTCATACTACAGATTTCAAAAATCTATAAATGGCTGCACATTCCTATGCCACAATGTAATAATACTACAGAGATAATGAGCCTTGACCTTAACAAACACTAAATATAGACTTTAAAATATAGAAGTGGAGAATATTATTAAGTCATTAAAACATAATTATGGCTCTCATTGAGGAGATCAGGCAATTCATGGAAGCAGGAGCCACTTTGAGCTTTGTGTGGAGCGTTCCAAAGGTCAGAA